TCTTATTAAGTGCTAAACATAATTCATAGCTTAGGTTGATTTATTTTAGAGAAAAAATTCCTCAACCAATATCCGTCAAAGTTGTAAAGGATCCAAATATCAATAAATAGAGTAGCTATCAAAATCTACTAGATGATTTTTGAGTTTGGTCCATGGTAACATCATATTAGGACTAGTCAGTCCATTTCTTCTTCAACCTACTGGTTTCCTATCTAAGTAATAGTTTCACCTTTTGCGTCTCTCTCACTTCCCAATGTCATTCATTTCTTTTTTCCATTTTCAGTGCCAATTATTTCTGCACCATTTCATCAATGAGGTTCAAGGTTTTGGGTAATGTCCTATATTTGTCGTTTCATTTCATTTACTAAGGTGAGATTGTATATTTAGCTTACTTGAATGATTATGAGAAGATAAAAGAGGAAAAGAAATTTTAAGGTGTTGCAGAATCAGTACTATGGAAAACACAAAGATTAATATAAATTTAGTCGCCATTGCTATCAAAATTTCTTAAAAAAGAAAACTCAATTGAATGCTCATAAAAAATATGAACATTAATGTGCTTTGCTTGCCAGTTTCCCTTAGAAATAAGTTTCATCTTTCTTTTTCGTTGTTTTAATGGTTTGCAAATTTCTGTTTTCAAGAGATTAACTTCTATATATTTCTTTCTTTTTTTTTCCTTTAATCTTATTCAATTTTCTTAATACCCCTTTGATATATGTGTTTTCTCTAATTTTTTTTTTCTGGCATGTTAAGTTCACAAACATAATACATGAGTTGATTAATTTCCGAGAAAAAATTAATTAAAACTTATAGAGGTTTTGGAAAATTAAGATATCAACAAAGAGAGTGATCATCAAAATTTGCTAGGTAATTTTTGAGTAGTTCACGATAAGATTTGTTCAAAATTGGTCTGATCCGTTTGTTCCAAACGCTGACAATTTATTATATAAGATTATAAGTAACAATGCTTCGCTTTAGATTCATTCCCACTTCTCAACGTCATTTCATATTCCCATCATTTCCTAGTTACATCTCATTCGGTATCATTTCATTGATAAGATTCAAGGTTTGGAGCAAGGCCTGTTATTCTTTACACTTTCACCCCGCCGCACCCCAATTGATGAGAATAGAATTGTTTATTTAGTTTGCATTAATGATTATGAAAAGATCAAACAAAAAATATAACTTAAAAACTTTGGAACTATAATGAAAAGCACAAAAGTGGATACAAATTGATTTATCATCGTGGTGGAAATTTATTCGCTAAGAAATCTCTATTGAAAGTTCTCCAAAGGATGAACATTAAGGCACCTCATATGCAATGGCGAAACCGAATTTCAAGTGAGTGGGCAAAAGGGAAAAAAATGGATTGAACCAACTCTTTGCTGATTTTCATGTGAATGGGAGTACAAATTACTTTGCATATTTTGATGGTTAATCTATTTATTAAACTTGAATCCTTGAGTAATTTTAGCAAATTTTGAATAGAAAAGTTTTCTAGGTTATATATTATGTTTAGAAGTGAAATTATTCTATAGGATACATCAAAGAAATTTGTTAATGATGATCATATACATAGCAAATCAATCATCAAGAAGAGGACTAAAAAAATTTCAAGTAGAATACAGGATAATAAAAAAGCTAAAAAAATATCTATTAAAGTACTACTGGATAAAAGATGATAGAACAATGTGCTTTATATTTTCGATATGCATACAAAACAAAAAGGATTCATGTAGCCGACCCCACGTAGTGGGATAAAGGCTTGATGTTGTTGTTGTTGTATGCATACAAAACAAAAAAATTAAAGAAGATCACTTAAAAAAATAGAGTTAGAATGGACCCTAACTATTTCGAAAATTAAATGAGATTAATGGACCAAAAAAGAAAGAAACACAAAGAACTGAAAATAGAAAATTGAAAGCCATCAAAGCAATACAAACGAACGATGAAGTATATTTCATCAAAAAATTGTCATACGAAACACGTGAATGTTCATATTTTTGTTGAGCTTTCAATTAAGTTTTTTTCATGAAGAAATTTTTATAATGATTACAACTAAATTTGTGTTGGCCTTTGTGCTTTTTATAGTAGCGAGTAGTGATTCTTCAACCTTTTTAAATTCTTTTTATTCTTGATATTCTCATAATCATTTGAATAAGCTAAATATAGAGTTTTGTCTTCATCCATGAGAGAGAGTTGGCGAACATTTGGTATTGCTCTCAATATTGAACCCACCGAATGAAATGGTATTAGAATTGGCAAAATGAAATGGCATTGAAAATTTGAGTTAATGGTGAAACACTAGTTATATAAGACCCACCAGTTTTGAAAAAAAAAAAAAAAAACAGATTGGCCCTCAATTGATCTTATTGAGAATCAAATTTAAACATTGCCTTGTAGATTTTGATTTATTAATATGTGAATCCTTAAGGAACCCTAACAATCTATGGTTGAAATTTATTTTTTCTATAATCAATCAATCAAAGTTATGTATCATGTTTATGAATTTAGCATCAAGAGAAATAAATTCTTCTATGACATAAATAAAAGAAAATTATTGACAAAGAACATACAACAAATTAATCATCTAGAAGAGGACTAAAAATTTACCAAATAGAATATGTAACAAAAGATCGGGCAAATTTGTTTAAAAAAATAAGATTGAAGGGTTATTGGATAAAATATGAGAGATCAATGTGCTCTATATCATCTAGCTGTATTATACAATGACTAAAAATAAATCACAATGATCGAATGAGTACTATTGAAATTTAGTGAGATTGAAGAAAAAAAAAGAAATACCAATAAGTTATTTTGTTGGTGACATGAAACTGGAAGGCACTAAAACAAAAAGAAAGTAACATGAAATTTATTTCGCATACAAACATATTAATATTCATATTTTCAGTTAGCTTTATTCTTAAAGAAAATGTTATAATTATGACAGCTAAATTTGTCTTGACCTGTATGCATAATATATTTTTCAACTTTTTAAAGTTCTTTTTCACTTGATATTCTCATAATCAATTTAAATATCAAATCTCTACTTCATCAATGAAACGAGCTGACAAATAGTGGGCATTACTCTGAATTTTGAACCTTTCTTGTCAAATGTCCATGAGAAGTGGGTAAATGAAATGATGGTGAGAAATGTAAATGAATTTAATGATCAAATACTGCTGTTTATATAGAAACCGTCAATTTCTGGAAAAATGGGATTGGTCTAGCTTCAATTGATCTTATCATGAATTAGATTACAAAATTATCTAGCTTATTTTGTTGGTCAATCTATTTTCTGATATTTAAATACTTCACGAACTTTGGTAAATTTTGTTGAGAATTTTTTTTTATAAAATCAATCAACCTAAGATATGTATTATGTTTATTTGTATAGCAAAGATGACATCTAAGCTTTTATTGTTCTTTGTGCTTTTCATAATGGTTGTTCTCCAATGCCTTTAAATTTATTTTCGTCTTGATCTTGTTATAATCGTTCAAGCTAGCTAATATAGAATTTTGCTTTCGTTCATGAGTGGCAGTTAATGAATTGCTGGCATTGGGACAAATCTTGAACATTACCGAATGAAATGACACTATGTAGTGGAAAAAATGAAATGGCGTAGGGAAGTGGGAGTGAAGTTATAGGTGAAACAAACACTATTTACTTATATAATAAACTAGCATTTTGGGAGCAATTGGACTAGATCGGTCCTCAACTATCTTAATGTGAACTGGAATAAAAAAATTATTTGGCAAATTTTGATGAAAAATCTATTTAGTGATATTTGAATCCTTTAGTACTAGCAGATTTTGTTTTTTCCCCTAAAATGAATCAACCTAAGCTATGTACTAATGAATTTAATAGCAAGTGGATTCTTCTATAAAAGCATCAAAGAATGTCATCTATGATGACCAAAATACCTGACAAAGCAGGCATTAAGAATATAACTAAAAATTATTAAGTAGAATACACGACAAGTGACGGCAAATATATAAATATTTTGAGATTGAAGGGTCGTTGGATAGAAGATGAGAGAATAATGTGTTTTCTATTTTAAAATGTATATTAAACACAAATGTTAAAGAAAAACAAAGGGGTACTATAAAAGTTGACAAGATTGAAGGGACAAAAAAGAAAGAAGCATAGAAAAGTCAATTTATCGAGAACCCTAAACTGTAAGTTACTAAAAACAAGAAGAAAGAAAGATAAAGTTTATTTCATGATGAAATTGGCATGTGAAGCATGATAATTTTCCTCTTTTCGGTGAGCTTTCAATTGAACTTTCTTAATGAAAAAAATTCCCACAATAGACGAATAAATTTTTATGGACCTTTGTTATTTCCATGAGGTTGTTTTTAAAGACTTTAATTTTCTTTTCCTTTTGATCTTCCCATAATCATTCAAACAAGCTAAATATAGGATCTCGTCTTCATTGATGAGTTGGATTCAAGGAATAGCAGGCATTGCTAGGAATCTTGAACCTCACCGAATGAAATTGCCTAGGAAGTGAGAAAATAAAATAACGTTTGCAAATGAGTTAAAGGTGAAACACTACCTACTTCCTACCAATTTCCAAAAAAATGTGACTGAACTAATCCTAATTTGATCTTATCATGAATCTGACTAACAAGTTCCCTGATAGATTTTGATGGCCATATCTATTGATATTTGAATTCTTCAGAAGCTTTAATAGATTTTTGTTGGGAAATCATTTCTCTGAAATCAATTGACCTGTGCTATTCATGAATTTAACAATCAGAGCAATAGATTATTCTGTAAAATGTATCAAAAGAAGTCATGGAAGATGACCAGAATACATGCTAAAAATTATCTTGTAAAATACACAATAAGAGATTTAGCAAATCCATAAAGTTTAAGGCACGTCTGGTTTGATTGTGTTCCTCTTCCTTTTTTATTGATTGTTTTTGTTACCGTCAAGCTTGTTTTTTATGTGCGTGGTTTCTTTTCAAATATCTTACACTGTTCTCTTCAACAGAAGCAACGGCCGAAGGCGGTGACGAAAATGAGGTATGCTCTTTCCCATATGCATGCTGTAATAGTCGAAAAGCTTAATGTTATAAAACTTATTTTTTAATTATGCTTTCCCCTACTTTTTTTTAAAATAAAGGTTTAGTTTGGGGCAACTTTTTGCTGCTTTTTAAAGTAGCTTTCTAGTAGAAAAAAATTATTTTTTTATTAAAAAATTGCTTTAAAAAGCAACAAAAAAAACCGTCCCAAATGAAACCAAAATTTTGAAAAACAGTGAAATCTACCATCCAAACGGACAAGGGTTTTTTATTGGCTGCTCTCTAGCAAAAATGCAGCTAAGAAACTGTCTCAAACAAACCAAAATAATACCTTTCCGCGAGCACCTTTTGATAATATGTCAATTTTGTATGGTCTGTTGCAGACATTGGATCAGAAAGCACAGAGAGCACTGGAATGTCCATGTGTTGCTGATCTGAGGAAAGGTCCTTGCGGATCTCAGTTCTCCGAGGCTTTTGTTTGTTTTATTAAGAGCACTGCTGAAGAAAAGGTAAACATGATCCGAAACTTTGATCATATTTTAGGATTTGTTTGGGACAGCTTTATTATTTCTTCTTAAAGCAATTTTTTAGTACAAAAAATTTAATATTCTTGTACTAAAAATCTGCTTTAAGAAGCAGTAAGAAAGCCATCTCAAACGAAGCCTTAATATTCTTTATCAAGTACTTGTTGTAAACATGCCAGTAACCAGTTTAGTGCCACATCTTAGATTTTTCTTGATAAATTTGCATTAAAAACAAATAAATTATTGCTGTAGTTTACACTCGACAGTACAGATCAAGCTTGGTTATCAGACTTATAACTCTATATTTGCAGGGATCAGACTGTGTGAGCCCTTTTGTTGCCTTGCAGAATTGCATCAGATCAAATCCTGATGCATTTTCCAAAGATGTTTTAGAGGATGAAGACCAAGAAGAGGAAGTTCAGGAGTATAAAATCAATCCCCCATCTTGGTCCAAAGAACCCCAATCAAAAATCTAAGTCCTAAATTTTTTTTTTTCTCTCTTTTCAATCCCAGTTGCAGGGAAATGCTAATAGTGAAATTTTGATTATATTGTTTTATAGGTTATAAAATTATGAACCATGAATCAAATAACCCATTTTTTAAACTTCTATGGTACTATTTCAAGTACCCTTTAGCTGGGACAAGGTGTTGCATGAACCTTATTGGCGTATTTTCAATAAAATGTGGCATGTTGTTGCCAATAAGATGGCTAATATTTTCTATTTTTTATTTTTTTTCCCTTAATTTGGTTTGTTTTATTTGGTATATTATTATTAGAATTGAAGCATATTTGATTTCTTTTATAAGCTTAATGTTTTATAAACTACCAATAAAAAGAAGTATGTGCATAATAAAACAAATGATATTCAACTTAAATAATTAAAAAATTCACTCAACTTTGGCCATTTATTATATATAGTAAAATAAACATTTGGTTAGATAAATCTTATAATATTGCGTACTTTAAATTTATTATTATTTATTACATAAGTAGATGACTTAAATATTTAAAATTTTGAATAAATCTATAAAAATGTTTTAATTCTAAAATAATATTCCTCCTTATTTTAATCTGATTTGAATAAATTTATATTTTTATTCCTTCTTAAAGCGGCTTTTTAGTAAAAAAATTAAATATTTTGTACTAGAAAGCCGCTTTAAGAAGCAGGAAGAAAGCCGTCCCAAATGAAACCTAAGTAGATCAAATCAAAGTATCACTTAAAAACCTACTTACAAACACATCTACACAGACTTCAGTGAGAGAAGAAAAAAAAAAACAATTGAAACATTATCAAGAAACTCTTAAAAATATAATTTACTAGAATCCAAAAATCTATGTTAAAAACTCACAAAACATTTAAAATAGGCTTTCTATATTTTTAAAACAACTCATTTTGATATATAACTTATCAAACTTGTTTTATTATCTCCTTTTCTTATTTTATAAAAGCAAAAAATAAAAAAATAATACTTTAGCCTTTTCACAACCTAACAATTGATTAAATTTCTAACATCAAACCTTAATCCAACTACGTGGAGTCGGCTATATGAATACATTTTCTTCATTGTCTTATTAAGAGTCAAACTCTCATTCAAATATATATATATATAAAAAAACAATTTCTAATACTTTAACAACCAAATCTTTTTAGGTCTACCTCTATTTTTCTTAACATTGGTCAAATCTAATACATCCACTCTCCTAACTGGGTCATCGGAAGACCGACATTTTATGTGGTCAAACCATCTAAGATGACTCTCTCTGATCTTATATGCCACTAGAGCTGCTCCAATCTTTTCACGTATATACTCATTTCGCATTTTATCTCTAAGAGTAAAGCCACTCCTCCACCTGAACATCCTCATCTCTGCAACACTTAATTTTATTATCTATCTATCTATATATCTAATGATAATTCCACAACCATAAGGATTAATCCAAGGAGAGCAAAAGAGAATATCAGATTAAATTACCAAAGTTTTGAAAATGTTTATAAGCACTCATCAGTTACATCCTCCTCGTGTGCAAATCCATTTGTATCCTGATCATTCTTTTTATTTTTAGACTTGAAGGATTTGTTAGATGATTTGCCCTTTTTTAAAGGCTTTCGAACCTGATCTGCTTGTAATTCGAGCCCTTTTGCTGATGGCTTCCTCCTCCTCTTTGAGCTATTAGTTCCCACAGTTTCTTCTGCAGCAGAGTTCCCACCTGCTGCAAATTCCAGAGTAGATTTAGGCTTCGTTTGGAACGGCTTTTTTACTACTTCTTAAAGCAGTTTTCTAGTAAAAAAATTAAAATTTTATACTAAAAGTTATTTTAAAAAGCAATAAAAAAGCCGTCTAAACATTTGATGGATATAAAAGCCAAGCTCACACTACTTGGAGAGCAGTAATTATTACCTTCAGCTAGGCTCAAATCAGGAAGTATTATTGCCTGGTCATTTTGCTCTACATCCACAGAGAGAGGAGAGCCAGAATGTGTGCTTTCCTCTACCTTAGTGGAGCTTCCTACATACTTGTCTTGCTGCTCTGGAGCATCTGGAGAAGGGATTGCAGTGAGGAAGCAGAGCTCTTCCATTGATGCATCAGAATCACTGAAGGCTGGGTCCTTCTCGAAGTTCACAACATCGACTTCCTCATCTTCATCAACTTCATAATCTTTCACCTGCAATGGAGCAAGTTAAGTAAAATCCAACTATAAAAGTCAAATTAATAGTTTAAAGATCTGGATTTCTTTACTTTATCTGTTTCAGGCACCAAATCAAACTCATCTTCTCTTTCCACATATTCTTCATTCTCCTCAAGTTCTTTAAAGTCAGGAGCAAATGCACTCCAATTTTCAGTGTAATCCTTAGCCCAAATGTACACCAAACCAGCAATAGAGACAGAAACAACCAATGGCCGGACCGGGTGCCAAGCAAGATCAATTAGAGCCTCCTTTGGGCCTTCCAGGATCTTCGCCAGATATCCAGACCGATCCCATATGTATATTTTGTGCTCTCCTTTGGTGGCTGAAGCTCCGACAACCCAGTCACCATCACCACTAAAGCAAGGAGCTTTCCACTGGATCTTCGTCACAGCATCTTGAAACTCCCTCTGTAAGATCAGACATTTGGATCCAACTGCCTTCAATTTCTCAGTCCCTTGAAGATTATCAAAAGAACTGCTCATTTCCTCAAGAGCTACAGCAGCTTTTTTCTGAGTAAGTAGGTTCTCATAGATTCTAATGACACGATCATTAGAGTTTGTGAGCAAATATTGTCCATTTCTACTAAAAACAATATTTCTGACAATGGAGCCCCCCAGTATAGGAATCATTGCACGCACACGGATAGTTTTGAAATCCACTATGAGTATCTCACCTTTGGAATTACCCACATAGATTAGGTCGCCATTTTTGTTGAAAGTAGCTGCGGTGGGAGTATAAGGTGGGGAGCCATCTGCAAATTTATTGCGTGGATGAGGAAGAACACCAATTCCAGAATCAGAGACTGAAACTGGAAGAACAGTGGAGCTACTAGTATTCAGATCAACAAGGATTGGCGCAGAAGAGAGAGGGCAAGCCAAACAAATTGATGGAGTGCAGGATCCTGGATGGAGACGAACAAGAAGTGTCGTTTGCTGTAGAGTGACTCGGGCAATCTTTTCGCCACTCTTAACATCCCAAAGAGTCAATGACCTATCAGTAGCTGATGCAAGCAGGTGATGGCCATATTTGGACCAGCAAACGCTTGTTATAGGTGCAACACAATCCTTATCACGGAGCTCCTTAGCAATTCCTCGAGTCTCAAAATCCCAAATGACACAGCTTCCATCTGAACAACCCGCTGAAAAACAAATATAAAATAAGCAATCAATCAAAGAGTCCATGCAAAATAATTTTCATCAAGGAGTTAACATGATATGATATATTATGATATGAACTTAGTAGTTCAATCACATTGAAATTGGCTAGACAGAGTTGGGAAAAAAAATTGATACTGATGTGATCCCTAACAGTTAGAGCAAACTTTGAAGCTGTTGGAGCAAGTGAGCAACTAAAGTTCAATTCAAGAAGGTCAAGCTTGTCAGTAATTCCGAACTATTGTCAGCCATTTCCCTATAATGACTTTACAGGTATCTATTATACAAAATAGTAGAATATGGATGAACATAACTTCTATAATTAAAATTAGATGATTAAAATGAAAACTTATCTAAAAATATTATATCATAAAATTATTAAAGAGATTTAAAAGTAATTTTTATAAAATCAAAATTTGATGGACAATTTTTATTGGATCTAAGTGTTGGGAAGTAGAAGTTATAGATAAATATATGTTGGGTGTGATAGAAATGAGAAAATAAAAATAAAAGTGTGACAAAATTAGAAAGAATAAATTAAGCAATGATTCTATTCGAGAAACAGCATGCTGCAGAAAAAGGCCAATCAAGTTAAACCAATGACACCTTCCACCATAGCTAGGCTTAAAAAATCTATAAGAGAAAAGTGCAAACTAAACTCAGATGCCTAATTTGAAAATGACCATTTTTCAAGCTTGCAAGATGATTCATATGACATCTTATATAATTTGTAATCCACAACAACACAGAAATAGAATGTAGTTTAACTTAGGCTTCGTTTGGGACGGCTTCCTTTCTGCTTCATAAAGCGGATTTTTAGTACAAAAATTTTAATTTTTGTACTGAAAAGCCGCTTTAAGAAACAGTAAGAAAGTCATCCCAAACGAAGCCTTAGATTCTAGGAGAACCTCAGTTCTCACATGCACACTCCTCAGAGTCCAGTTCATGAACAGGTATGTCACCAAACAAATTTAAGTTCAAACATTTTTGCTACATTCACCCCAATTAATCTTCCGCGTTTATGACTACGGGGTTAGGGGGCTCATATACAGTGTGATCTATACCCTCTCTAAAAGTACACATGGCTAAATCCCTCTTGTTGTACAAGTAAACCCAATCCCCTGCCCCTCAATGTCTGTACAAATATCAATAAAAATGAAGGTTAAGGCAGAAGCTGCTGAACAGGAGTCATCAAATAATTTAACAAAAAAGGGAAACAGGGCCAAGATTTCTCCAATAAAAAATGGAGCTCTCATCAATGGCACTTTTCCTTGGATCATACAAATTTTCCTTATAGCAAGACAGAAAGAAAAACCAATAACCAGAAAGTGAATATAAACTTTCCACCCATGGCAAACAAATCAAGACGGTTAATCCAACTATCTAAACAATTACAAGCCCGGAGAAATAAAGTAAAAATAACACCAAATAAAGTCCTTTGTGCTCACCAAGCGAAGCCCAATTCTCCTCCTATAAGCAGTGTCTGATAGCCAACTTAAGTACTTTACTGACACTTCAGTAACATAAATATGTAATAATGTAAATGAATTGTGAGAGATTCAACATTAAGGAGTACAAATGCAGGAATTGGCTTACCAGTGAGAAGGAAAACATGCTTAGAAATAAGTATTTTTACCTGGAGATTTATCAGACCTCAGGAAGTTCTGCTAATATCCATAGACTAATCTAAATAGGCTAATGCGGAAGGAATATTTAAGATTGTTCATTTCAAAAGTGAGATAATAATAAAAATGTGTGCATTTTAAACAATGGTAATTCTGATTTACATCCATTACACCAACTTTCTCATCAACACTAGATATATCTGGATGAATAAATAAAAGCAAAGTTTCCAATTAAACGTATAATTTCTTTGCCTTGAACGAAAAAGACCCCTAAATAATCAAGTAAATTGATGCAAACCAACAATTTTGATGCAATCTTCCATGTGACTAACTATTCATATCCTGTTCTCATTATTCGGTCATTAAAAAAATAGTTAACCAATCTCCCTCATCAGACAATATGCTTAACATCATTATGAAGAGTTATACCAAAATCTCAATATCCTAAGTGACACAAGTTAAGCTAATTTGGCTTTAATATGACTAAATGAAACATGTCCAAAGCCAACTGACATGAAGCTCACAGTTAACAATCGCCATCAGAAACACAAAATATTTGCATTGTATCAAGTTTACTATATTTTGATTGTAACTACGTATGATGAATCAGTTATGTCCCTTGTCATATTTCCATCATGGTTTACATAAATTTCTAAGCATGCCTAAACACAGAAATATTTACTTATGATAGCAAAGATTTTTCTTAACGAGCTATCTTTCACCATAAACTGAAACCTCCTTCCTTTAAAATCCTTCATAAGGCTTTGCAATTGCTACACTCTCAAATAGTCCTCCACTTGAAGGTGGAAGGAATAAAGAGTAGAGAAAACTAAAAAAAAAATTTCATTCAAATATCACCCTCCACTTTCATTCTAAAACAAGGTGGCGTATATATAGGCTTCAAGCAAGAGACCAAGCCAAGAGGAAATGGGGGAGGGGGTGGCCATAGCATGCGTAAATGAGAAAATTTATGCTTTATAGGGTTTTGAAGAGGTCGAGTTCATGGCCATGCATAAAGGTTCCAAAGCACGATTTTGACTTGGAATTAATGCAAGAGAGCAGAGAAAGATGGAGATGGTGGTGATGAGGATAATGAGGTGGCAAATCAAAATGGTGATGATCTGGAGGTCAACTTTGATGATGGTGATCAATGAATGGTGAAAAAGGCGAAGTATGATAATTTTAGGCTAGAAAAATGGGTGAAATTGTTAGGTTAGCTAAAGCTGAAATCCAAAGACACCTAACGCATGATACACTTGATTCGGCTAACACAATGCCCAAATATTAGAAATTATCCAAACAACATAATGACCCAAAAAAATAGCAAGACTCAAAAAACCCAAAAATACAAGGCTCAAAAAACTCAATTACAAGTTTTGAACTGATCAATCTCAATGTAACTACCATGCTCACTATCACAAATCAGTCTACTCCTTGAATACTCTAAGATTTACTTCATGCGTATTTGAATTGGAAACATATAAAATTAAATTCAGGAACATCCGAATTCTAATTTCAACAAACTTATAGTTGAACATAATTTCTTGATAATATGAACTCATTAATATCAAAAGTGATAAGATCCGAATCTACATGAGCCCAAATCAAACACTTAAAACATAATTGAAAACTATGGGACATTAGTAGGATGAATAAATGATATTTGAATCTAGCATGCTTATAGTAAAATCAATTATTTCAATGAGATGAATCAATTAGATCAAGATCACTTAATTCAAGCATCATTGAGACAATTAAATGCTAAATGAATGACAAATGGTTGTGATGGGGACATTAGATCATGGAAAGTATATCAAAGACATGACCGACAATCTACGGCCATGATCGTGCCGATCTATTTTTTGTTCATCATATGTATTTATTTTATTTTTTTGCATTATGTATTTGTTTTATTAAGCATTTCCCGTTTTACCCTTACTTAAGGGTCTTGTCATATGTAAGTCCTAAGGGCTATGTTGTCTTTTAATTTCATTTCATTGTATGAGGTTATTTATAAGCCCCTATGTTTCTTTTCAAGTTAATGAATGAATGATAATGAAAATTCCTGCAATCTTGTGTTTGTGTGAGAGCTTTAGAGAGAAATCCCTAGAAGAGTGAATCAGATCACCCACCAACATTGGAAGTGTCCGGTTTCGTGGTTCATTTTTCCCTATCTTTTCTTTTCCTCTTTCCCCCTCTCTTCCTAGTCGTCGGCCTAGGGTTTCCAACCCCCATAGCCACCGACCACCACAAGCTCCAAGCTCCTTCCCCTTCCTCCCCTCTCGGCCAACACCTCACCACCCGCAACACCACCGGTTTCCAACCCCACCACCTTAAGCCGCCAGCCCACACCCAAACCTTAGTCGCCAGCCCCTTGAATCCCCACATCAAAGCATGCAATCAAAGCCCTTCCTAATTTGGCCTTTATATTTTAGGTAACCCATTTAATTCATATTCAAATCAATTTGAGTTTGAATTTGTTTCCTAAAATATGAAGTTCTATTTTAGGAATGTTTCTAAATCAAATCCAAATTAATTTTGAATTGGATTGGAATTAAATCCACTTCCTTAATTTGGGATTCCCACTTAAGCAAGTATTAAATCCCTTTCCTAAACCCCCATCCCCTTCTCTATGTCGTCGGCCTCCCTCCTAGTCCCTGTCACTTAATTGCTTTCCAAAATTAAGCCTCTCATTTGGGAAAGAATTCAAACCCTTTCCTCTCTCTCCTACCGCCCCCTTTCTTCTCTCCCCTTTAATTAATTCTTTCCACTATTTTAACCAATCAATCCCAATTAACTCCCCACATGAACGGCCCCTATCTCCCCTCCCTCCAATTATTTTGAGATTGATTTAACATGCCACCTAAGCAAGGGAAATTAACTCCAGGATATTCTCCACAGCTGTCCACATAATTCCCCACCTCATCCCCCAAGCTCTCGTGCATCCAGAAGGAGGAAATCCCTGAAATTCTCCTCTCCAACTTGTTGTCCAGATTCCTGGACAGGTTTCGTATGTTGCCTTGAGTATAAGAACCTTGAAAACTACTGTCCAGAGTCTTTAGGTTGCTGTCCAAAGAATCCAGACCAGTTAGTTGGCTATCATCCATCCGAAAGTCGCTAGAATGTTGTCCAAAGGCCACTAGGGAGTTAGTGTTGCTGCCCACTCTTTCTCTAACATACAAACGAACACACCGGTGCGTCGTATCTCTTTCCTTTGGGTAAACTCTTCCACCAATTCTCTTATCTTCTTAGTTTACTTCTCCATTGTGGTTATATTTTGATTCATAAATATCATGCTAATTGTCCTCCGCCAAAGCTTAGTAAACGTAGGGCATGAGTGATGGACTTCTATGTTTCTAATCTCGTTGTTAATCTAGGGATGCTATTGAAAATCATCTATATTTGCTTATGTTAAATTTTTAATTGTTTTGTGATCCTAACTATTATTGTGTGGCTTGGCCTAAACTAAGGACACAATGGAGAAAAATGATTCATGTAGCCGACCCCACGTAGTGGGATAAAGGCTTGATGTTGTTATTGTTGTTGTTGTTGTTGGCCTAAACTAAGGCACCCCTTTCTTGTTTTCCATTTTCGTTAAGTGGCTAACATTTTAATTCTTATTTCTCTTACTTGAAAGCGTGCAAACTCTTATATCAATCATTTAAAGTATTCATAGTTCTACATCATGTTGAGGATTCAATATGAACCGTCTAATGGAGTGTTCAAAATTTTCTCTATATTTATGGAACATTCCACTATTAAAAATCTTTAAATAGAACCTCACTTAGATACTCTAAGAATCCCCAAAAAATGGAGGACCTTGACTTGAGATTCAAAAGAGCACAGTTGCTCTAAGAATCCTAGATCTTCACATGAACACCCCCATCGAACCACCATTTGATTATCGCCATAGGACTAATCTCTAACTGCCACAGTCAAACTACCGACCAGCTGCCATAGTTAGAACCACCGAACTCATACCATCACCGACTATGGCCTTCTAACCACCGTCACTCGACTACAATCCTCCAACAATCATAGCCCAACTACAATTTTCTAACCTATTGTCCTTTCCACCATCGCTCATGGGTACACAGACGTTTGCTAATTGTCACATATCATTATTAATAATGTCAACACATGTCATCCTTATAAGATTGATGCATGTCGTCGACGCCAACTTTGACTCCTAATGTCAGCACCAAGATTTATGCTAGACTTATTGATCCTTAATCTCCCCACCACAAAAGAGTTCTACCAAACAAATATGCAAATGATCTCTTAAGGACAACTTCGATGTCATAGGAACTTCTACCATGTAATACTTTACATATATTGTATGAATACTGCATCATATCAACACCTTCCTCGAAGAAAGGGCGTCATTTTTAACCAATGACAAACACTATTAGAATCATTTTAATTGGTACAAACCCCTAGGTTTTTCTCTTTTCTAGATTTTACATGTAAAAATTCTAATATCTCTTGTGGCTCCTCTTTTTTCATGTGTGTGATGGATCTTAGTACAATGATACTACAATGCTAGGATAATAAACTCTCTTATTCTACCTTCGTAAATGTTCCAGCATGCAACATAACTTATCTGAAAATCCAATTATATCAATAAAGTAACTCATTCAAAAGCAAAATAAAAAAAAAATAATTAAAAAAAATAACAAAGCAAAGCACATAAAATCTTTTTTGTAATTATTTCGTTGCTGTGGGATGTTTTTAGGCATAAATACTTCAACGGAGAACAATTACCAGCTAGAAGAGTTCCACGGCGATTAAAAGCAATGCATTTCATGTTTCCATGTTGCAAGTACTCTTCTATCACTTCTGGGAAATCTCCCTGCAACGGATCTACACCAGCCGAAAAAACAAAATCAATACCGTCGAAGGGGCGAAGTCGAACAGTAAGCCGAAGTAGCGACGCGCGCAATCTCTACACCTCCTGCGAAGCAACGAAGCCGAACAGCAACAACGAAAAGAAAATATGAAAGGCAAACCTAGACGCCTCAAAGTTATTATTGATTAACTTAATTAATATAATTTAAATAAATTAATTAATTAATTAATAGTATAATTAGTGCAAAAATTAATTATTTAATTTAACTTAATTGACTAATTAATGATATAATTAGTAATTAAATATTAATATAATTAGCTTATTTAATAATTCAACTGTCACTTTGGTTAATTTTAGTTTAGAATTTGATTTTTATTGAATTTTTATTAACTAAAATTAATTTTATTATGTTTTATGCAATGATCTTGATTTCATAAATATCTCCTTTAAATTTAAATTCCTAACAGCCATAAATCTTGATATATATTACCAAACAATTTTTCAAGATTTAACAAGATTTAACATTTAGCATATCAAACAGTTTTCAGGATTTAACATATTTTGGATTTACTAAATTAGAATTTATAGGATTTATTAAATCCCACTTATTGTCAAACAGCCCCTAAGCTTACGCCAATGCGCTTGAGCCGTATTGTATCGTTAAATAGGTCGTGACTCGTAAACGAGTATTGTAGCTCCGCGAACGGAGAAATTATTTGGCGCAGAGTCCGAACATAGCTCTGTGTCCAATGCTTGTTCCCTCTCCTGAATTAGCCTGGAGAAAAGCTACACATCAGGTCATTAATTTTGCCTTCTCAAGGACCAGTTAAAACTCGTTAACATTTCCTACTAGTGTGTGGCACTGTAATAAGATATATGTAATCTTTTATGTAACCCGCAAATGCTATTAGTATAGGGTGTTCAAGAAATGATCTAAATTTTGATTTTTGTAGAAAGCTATCAACATTTTTTACCTTAAATTTGTTTTTGTATGCTTAGCTGGGATAGTAAAAGTTCTACCAACCTCTCCCCTTAAATTTGTTTTTGTATAGTAAATGTTTTACCAACCTCTCTCTCTCTCTCTCTCTCTCTCTCTCTCTCTCTCTCTCTTCCCTATTATCAACAATAGGTATATCTAAGCCTACCAGACAAATCTCCTAATAGGATATAATATTATCCACCAGATTTTGGATCAAAGAGTATCCCTTTTAACATTTATTTTTCATTGACTTATTTGTATTTTTTTTTTTAATTCTCTTTCGAACCTCTTATATTTTTCGTTTAATTAGACTTATGATTAAGGGTGTCAAAATGGGTTTTTAGGTTGGACGGTTCGAACTCGGGTCAACTCGGGACGACCCGACTGGAATACGCATAATGAGCAAGTGAGTGGACGATTGTGCAAAGGAGAAGGTGATAGCGCGCGTAGGGGTGGGAGAGGGCGGGCGGGTGAGCAAGCCGCGTGCATAGGGATGGAGAGCATGCGCAGGGGCGTGAGAGCACTCGTAGGGTTGTCGGGAGAGCGCACACAGCGAAACATTGGTGGACAAGCGCGTGCAGGGCCAGTCGAGTGGGAGGCGAGTGTGAACAAGAGGTGAGCCAAGCGCAAGATCGGGTTCAATTCTTAGTTGCTTTCGAGTTAACCTAAACCCAACCCAAATTTGTAATTGGGTTATAATAGGAACCCTAATACAACCTATTTTTCAAACGGGTTGACTCGAATTTTGTTCATGTCGGGCTTTAAGATCGTAACAAATATTAAAACCCCTACTTCTGATTTAAGATAATCATATAATCGTTTGCTTATTTAATTCATTTTGAGCCAAGGCTCTTAGTTCCTCCTATAATTTCTAAAAATTGAATAAATTAAAAATAAATAAGAAATTAATTTCCATTATTTTTTTAGTCCAATCAAACGATAGTTTTTTTTAAAACTAACGCACTCTTTTTTAGTAAAACGACAACTACTAATGTAATTTATCGCATGAGCGTAATTATAATAAATAACCTTGTTGTGGACTAGAATATTCACGGTGGTAGAGAGATAAATAGTTTAATGCCTTAGCTTTGAACGAATATCCAACACATATATGGATAACGAGTGAGTGGTGCGAAAAGAGACCAAGACTTTTACGTGGAAAACCTTGAAATTGGTAAAAATCATGGGGCTTGATCTAGTTAAAATGATTTTACTAGTATTTATAGTCGATTACAAATTGTGCCTTTCCGTGGGGGAAAGGCATTGACTCAATGTATAATATATAACATATTATATAGTTGGGAGTCATTCTCAAGAGAATGTTAGCTTATTCATTTGGTTTGTTGTTCTATATTTAGGAAATGGAGATTAGAGGGGCTATAGCCGATGAGTGACGATAGTTGGAAAGACTAGTCAACGGGCGACGGTGGTTGGAGGGATCATAGTCGGCATAACGATGGTGTATGGAGGGATCGTAATTAGTGGGTGATGGAGCTTGGAGAGAGCGTAGTCGATATGCGAGTGGTTGAAGAGATCATACCCGGCGGGTGACGAAAGTCAGAGGGATTGTAGTCGGCAAGCAATGGTGATACGAGGGACCATAGTTGGTGGGCGATGGTATTCAGAGGAATCGTAGTCAGCAGGCGACAGAGGTTGGAGGAATTATAGTCAACATACGATGGTAGTCGAAGGAACCATAGTTGGCGAGCAAACAAATGTTGGAGAGACTGTAGCTGACCGACATAGTGGCCAGAGTGGTATGTCGATGGCAACCCAATAGAGGTGGCGGCCAGGTGGCGATCCGACAATGGCCGACCAAAAGTCCGACGACGGTCGGCAGCTAGGTGGAAGTGTAATGCCCCAAACAAATAGTTTTTTCAGGAGTCAATATAAGTCAAATTTAAAACACATCTTCTCCATAAATATAGATGTCATTGCGTTTTAATTACAAATTTTTTCATAATTTTTTAGCATTAGTAAAAATCCTCAAGAAATTTACACCTCTTGTTAAGAGTGTAGATTTTGGGACAATCAAGTATCCATTTTTCAAACTGATTTCATCAATATTTTTTAAATAAAAATATTTATCTTATGAATAATTTTATATAAATTTCAAGGTTGTGAAAATCAGATTAGACAATGAATTAGATGAATGAGAGGTTCACGGTTAGATCGGTCTAATCGAGGTTAAACCGGATGACATAATAAACAATATTATTATTAAAATTTAATAAAATTAACATAATAATGATGTTATCATGTCAAATATGAGACAAAATTAAATGAAATATAAAACTTACATAATTATTTTTATTTTTATTTTTTAATCTCACATAAGAGTATAAAAACCCAAACCTCATAATTTTAAAAATTTACACTGATCATAATAAGATAATTTTAAATTTAAATATTTTCAATTTTTAAATTTAACTTTTTAATCTAAATTTAATTTACATCTAACCATATAGTTTAATATAATTTTTGTTGATCTTGGTGTCGTTGGGTTCGTATTTCTGAGACGCTCAGTTTGACTGTAAGCTCGCTGAAATCGGAGTTCATATGCTCCCGAAATTAATTTTGGAAGTTTCCAATTTGATTTTGCATCGAGATTCGTGCCCGATCAAGATAATTTTTTGAGGATGTATCATATATATTGATCGATAATTTTATTTATGCTGCTATTTAGATTGATAAAAGAATTAGATAGTTTTGTATGTGTAAATTAAAAGATAAAAAATAAAGTATTCTAAATTAGATTTTGGAGAGTCATAGGAAATTTAACGGTGATTGGCAGACAGGCGGTAGTTTGGCGGCAATCGGCGGCCAGTCGATGGTCCTACGACGATCAACGATCGTGTAATAGTCCAGCAGCAGTCGGCGGCCGGACGGTAGTTTGACAATTGTCGGGTTAAATTAAGGCAGCGGTCTGCAGCCGAGCGGAAGTTCGATGGAGGTAGTAGACTAGGTGGAAGTCCGATGATGGTCAATGGACAAGCTGTGGTTTGGCGATTGTCGATAGAGATTTGCTGGTGGTGGTGCTGAAGCTCTTAAAGTCTCAAATCTCTCACCAATCTCCAACCAAATTTCCAAGCTCCAAACCGCCCTTTCTTGGGGGAAAGGGGAGGGAGGGTGTTTATTTATAGATTTTTAAAAGTGGCATGCACCATAAATATGAAGAAAATATGGGTCAAATTCGGAGTGCTCCATTGGACGACCCATATTGATCTCCTCAATCAAAGAATGCTAATCAAGCATTTAAGATATGTAATGATGTCAAAATTAAGCGATTTTGGGCTTATTGGATTTGCCTCGTCGAGCCCCTCGATTCGACTATAAACATGTTATATTTGAATATCATTTGATCATTCAATTTATGCTTAAAATCTTCCAAATGTGTTTCGTACCATCGATTTGGATCCATTTGGGCCGAAATTAGAGTTACACCTCGAGATTCATGCCCGATCAAAGCAATTTTCAATGACATATTAAACCTAACAAAAATGCAATTTGGTTCAAACAATAGTGAAATTGGATAAAATAAAGTTGCCTATAAAATTTTAGATAGAAAAAAAATCGACCGATTTCGAATCAAATGAACTAATTCCGATTCATAAAACATTTAAAATAGTTAATATGTTGGGTGTTATTTATTTGTACTAATCATGTAATTAAAAAATATTAGAATCAAAATATAAAGATTTATGAATATGGTATCAAATAAAATTCAATACAACACTAAAGTAACAAAATATGGTCTTAATAAAATTTTAAAGATATTTGCATATTATCTTAAATATTTATATGATAAATAATTGTTATTTTTATTTAATTGATTCTTAGTTATTATACTATCGATAAAATTAAATTATGAGAAATGTATTTATACACACTAATATTGAATTTCCAGTTCCATAGATGCGAGAGTGGCGTCAGTCCATCCGCGGAGCTCGTAGAATGGCTTCGCTTCCGCTTCCACCCGCTGCCTCGGTCCGTCTCCCCTGCGCGTTACTCCGAAACTCCTTCCTTCCGCCCACTCTCTCCAACCTCCCTTCCAAGCTAAGACCCTTTCACTCTCCTTACTCTTCCGCTCTTTCAGTCTCTTGTTCATTGCCCTCAGTTTCTGCCTCTGCCGCCGCCACCTCCTTTCCATACTCTCAAATCCAGCAACGGCAATATCCCGAGCAAGAAGATCCAGTCAATGGACGAGGAAGAGGAGATTTGGAAGAACCGCGGCAAGAAGACGATGAGGACCTCGTCATTGGTGACTGTCTTGTCTTCGAAGAGGGCGCTTTCGAAGAGAACCCTTTCCGCAGCAACCAGCCGAAGCGGCACAAGGGGAGGGTTTCGAGTTCCGCGGAGGCATCTGTTGGAGATTCGAACAGCTTGGTCCCAGAGAAGTGGAAAGAGGTTGTGGAGGAGATTAACTTGACGAAGAAAGAGAAGCGCAAGATCGCGCACCAGGTCAGGTTCGGAAGCCGATTGGAGGCGCGGAAGAAAACCCCCGTGCCGGATATGGAGGAGTACTTGGCCTACCGGGAGATGAAGCTGTCGCAGCTTAATCCCGTTGTGTTGGATGACCCCAAGCGATTCCCACGTGGGGCTGTGGTACTAAAGGAGCCGGGCGAGCATAGTGGAAGGGTGGCTCCGAGGAACCCTAGACTGGCGATTCACGAGGAAACTATGGAGGACATTACGGAATTTTTCAATAGTGGGGATTACGTGCCTGGGGAGAGAAATGATGACAAGAAGCCGCACGGTGAGTTTTAACAAACCTGCTCAAGTGCTCATTGCTACTGGGATTTTGATATGCTTGGTTTCCTGTATTTGTAAGGATAGGGATAGGAATTAGATTTACGCACAACATAAAGCAGTAATAACGAAGAGAAAACATAGCAGAAATCAGCAAGAAAAAAAGAAATTATGGACTAATTTTATTGACTTAGGAACAACAAACCAATATACAAGTTGATTTACTATTCGAGAGGTAGATCGGCTCTCCACAAACCCTAGGCGCCGCTACGAATAACTCCAAAGAAAAACCACAACAAACACACAAATCACATATTACAAATCAAACAACCTAATTAGCCCTATATATAAGCTTTCATAATTCCCTAACAAATTTGAATTCAAACCAGCCCCCTTTTTTAAATAATTTTTTGTTCTAATTCTCTAATAAATCTAAATTCAAATCAGCCCCCTTTCCCTAAATAAACTTTCCTTATTCTCTCCCAATTTTAGTTTCCCATGGTAAATAATTAAAGGTGGAGTTATTCTCCTTTGGATTCCCCTCTTTACTTGCACGTCGTTCGTCCTAGTGGGGCCCACATCATCCATCAGTCCATTAATACCCCTCTCTAAAAGAGCCACCTCGTACTTAAGGTGAAAAGAGAGAAACTTCTTCTGAATGGTTTTGTATGGGTCCCATGTCGCCTCATACTCTTGTAACTCCTTCCACTTGATCAGCTCCTTCATCATCCCATTGTCTTCTTGGCACATCCCTTTTAGCTCCTATGGTTTACCTCCATATCCTCTGACAATGTGTCCAGTAGTGCGAGCAAGGGTGTGTGATTTTCAATGGGTCGTCTAAGTTACGATACATAAAATACGGGATGGATGGCTAAGGTCGGTGGAACTGTAAGCGATATGCTACTGTGCCAATGCTTTCCACTGCCTCATAGGGCCTAAAGTAGCTGGTGAGAGCTTCTCATTCCTTTGTCGAGCCAAAGTCCTCTATCTGTAAGGTCGGATCTTCAAATAAACCCTATCCACAACCTCAAATTGCATGTCTCTTCTATGCCCATTCGCATACTTTTTCATAATTTCTTATACTCTTTGTAGATGTTCCTTCAATTCTGCCAAAATCTAACACAACTCCATTGATGATAATGGTGTGTTGTTATGCCCATAATATATCAAATGAGGTGGATCCCTACCATATAGGATTTTAAATGGAATTGTCATATGAAGTATTATATATCAATATTCTGCCCAGCATAACCACTTGGCCCACATCTTTGGTGTATCTGATACAAAGCAATGAGACACTACGATTCATCACTTTCGTCTGCCATCTGTTTGGGGGTGATAAGTTGTGCTCCGCTTAAGGATTGTCCCCTGCATGTTTAATAACTATCTCTAGAAGTGGCTCAGAAAGACCTTGTCCCGATCAGACACAATGCCATGCAAATGGATCACCTCTCTAATAAATGCGGCGGTTACTGACACCGCGGTGTATGAGTGTCATAAGGGAACAAAATGAGCATATTTGCTCAATTTGTCCAACACCACTAGAATCATAGTGAATCTGATGCAGGACTGCAATGTTTAATGATATGTGATAAGAATTTGCACGATTTATTGAATAAAACAATTAAGATTAAAACTATTAGCAGTCAAAACGACAAAAGAAAACAAGAGAGAGATGCCTACGTTTAGGCTAAGCCACTGTTGCAAAATTCTCATCTCTTTATCAAGAAAAAACCCTGAGTTTGATCAATATGAAGTATTATATATCAATATTCTACCCAGCATAACCACTTGGCCCACATCTTTGGTGTATCTGATACAAAGCAATGAGACACTACGATTCATCACTTTCGTCTGCCATCTGTTTGGGGGTGATAAGTTGTGCTCCGCTTAAGGATTGTCCCCTGCATGTTTAATAACTATCTCTAGAAGTGGCTCAGAAAGACCTTGTCCCGATCAGACACAATGCCATGCAAATGGATCACCTCTCTAATAAATGCGGCGGTTACTGACACCGTGGTGTATGAGTGGCATAAGGGAACAAAATGAGCATATTTGCTCAATTTGTCCAACACCACTAGAATCATAGTGAATCTGATGCAGGACTGCAATGTTTAATGATATGTGATAAGAATTTGCACGATTTATTGAATAAAACAATTAAGATTAAAACTATTAGCAGTCAAAACGACAAAAGAAAACAAGAGAGAGATGCCTACGTTTAGGCTAAGCCACTTGCCAAATGCTTGAATTATCAAATAACTTAGAATCTCAATAGTAAGCAAATGTAGTAGCTTTCAACAAAATCCCTACACTAACAATGAGATTAGAAGCATAGAAAGTTACACTCAATTCCTACGATTATTAGGCTTGACAAAGATAGGTGAACAAGACCTTCATGAATCAAATCAAATCACAACAGAGAGTTAAACTACGAAAATACAAGAGTAGGAACATTTGAAGACTTTTGTCATGGTTTGGACGTAATCCACCATTGAACGGCACCAAGTTGTTTCTCTATGGCTTCGGTGAGAGTATCTAGAATGCGCTCCATGTACTCTTAGACAGTGTAATATTCGGATTGACGTCAAAGAAAGTGGAGTGAAGGATGTGAACGAACCCTTGTTCGTCGTAGGCGATGCCGTAATCAAGATCTGGATCGGCCATGCATCACGTTTGTAGGATTGATGTGTTGTAGACGACGTCCTTTTGTCTTCCTTAAATTTTTCCCTTGAAAGAAAGGTGTTCTTTCAAGCCTTCAAATGGTGGAGAAAGGATGAAGGAGCTCCCTTGTCAAAATCTTTGTGGAGAACTTTTATTGGGATGCAAAAGGGAAGAGGATTTATTCTGGGGAGGAAATGGGTTTCCAAACAATGCTCTAATTAATTCCCTATGATTGAGAATAATTAAAGAGGAGAGAGGGAGGGTATGGGCGGCGACAAGAAAGAGGAGGTTAGGGGATTTGCTTCCAAAACTCAATATTTGATCTTGAAAAGTAATAAGGAGGTGTGTGGGCTTAGGAAATTTCGGCCAAGAGAGGCTTGAAGGTTTGAATTAATTCCAAAAGGGGAGATGGGTTTTGGAAATAAATCCATGGGAATTAATGGGGTAGGGGCCGATGGCTTAATAGGTTAGGGAGGTGATTATGGGGAGTAATTTGGGTTGCTAATTTGGGATTTAGAGATTATGAAAGTTTTAATTAAATCCCATTTAATTTGAAATTCAAATAGGGTTTAATTTAGAAACTTTCCTAAAATAGATTTCCTAAATTAAGAAATAATTCCGAATTCAAATAGTTTTGAATTTTGAAATTAAAACTTCCTAAATTAAGAGTGGATGCATATGGAAAGTATTCAAGGGGGAATTGAATTGTGGAGGGAAGATAGGGGAGATGGGAGGGGTCGGCGGCTATGTTGGGTGTTTATGGGGATTTCGGTGAAGGAAGGGTGGTGTGGTGAGCCGGCGGCTAGGTGGGGAGGTTAGGCGACCGACGGCCTAGGGTTTTGGTGAAACCTTATGCCGGCGGCTAAATGAAGAAGAGAGAAGGAAAATTTGATAAAAGATGAACCACAAACTCGGCCGTCTCCAAGGTTGGTGGATGATCCAAACTCCCTCTCCAAGGGATCTCGCTCCAATCTCTCTCAAGCTCTCATAAGAACTTAAACATGGGTGAAATTTTTTTTCATTCAATCATTAACATAAAAAGGAACAAGAGGGCTATATATAGCCTCGTACAAATGACTCAAGAAAATAAAAGACGACGATGCCCTCTGGGCTTACATACGACCTTCCTTAAGTAAGGGGTAACAATGGAAACACTAATAAAATAAATACAACATTAAATAATAATAAAGAAAATACATAATATGACTCAGAAGTACATCGACTCAATCGTGGTCGTAGATTGATGGCAACGTCTCTAATAGACTTTCCAAGCTACGATGTCCCCATCAAAATCCTTCTTATCTAAGTAGTCCCTCAATGAAGTCCATAATCACATATTTTCGCACCTTCTCGGGTAATGCTAAATACTGTAGAAGACCACATGGAGCCATAACCATATATTTGTGTTTTTGACACACATCACAGCTGGTCACCAACTCTTCTACATCCTTCTGCATGCCCACTCAACATAGCTTCCCTGCCAGTCTATGATATGTCTTCTGAATTCCTGAATGTTCCCCAATAACTGTGCCATGAAACTTCTGCAACAATCGAGGGATGTGTGGCGATGTCCTCGAAAGCACAAACTGTCCCTGGTATAGCAGCTTTTGGCTCATCAAAGAGTAACCAGGATAGCTATCCTGGTCATGCATTAAGTCTCTTCTGATCTTATTCAGCTCTTCTTCCTACTCGCTTTCACTTTTAAGGCCTCCCAATCCACCACCATGGGAACAAATAGAGTCATAACCTGAGGGTCTTCACTGCTCTTGGAGAGAGCATATGTAGCTTGACTTTTTAGCCCGGGCTTGTACTGGATCTCAATGCCATAACCCAACAACATGGAAAGTCATCCCTGACCATCTTCTACTCTAACAAGAATTTCAAATTCCTTGGGTCGGTCTTGACTATGAAGTGTCGTCCCAACATGTAAGGTCGTCATTTCTGTATTACCAACACTATCGCCGTAAGCTCTCTTTCATACGATGATTTTAACACCTAGCTGAAACAAGCTATGAGTCTCTGACTCGACATGGAACTGCTCCCAACACAAAGTCTGATGCATCAGTCTCCACTACAAACGTCTGATTGACATCTATTAGTGTTATTCAGGGCAGCTGCTTCGCCAGACGAGTACGACAGTTTGTGTGTTAAATGAAATAATATGAGGATTGGCAGACAATCCAATTAGTTCATGTTTGAAATTGTTTAAAATTGAAAAAAAAAATGTTGAGGAATTTTTTGTGATAGATATCTACTCTCTATTTTAGAGAAGGTCACCTGGAAAGTTCATCAAGGGAAGGATGCCAAAGGACACATAATTCATTGTGTTGGGAGTATTCTGCATAAGTATTTATCATATGAAGTATGGGAACTCCTTGTAGATACAACTTCTTCTCAGCTAGAACATGACTCAAAAACAATTATGTCATTGTATATTTTAAGGGATTCTAGAATGCTCCACCAGAAAGATGTGGAGGAGATGGTGGCCAGTTGTGATGTCTATCAAAGGCACAAGTACATGATGATTGATCCAGAAGGACTTCTAGATGGACAATGCCTTTGTTTCACCTTGAGGACAAGCTGGCTCTTTGGGAGATGAGTATTGATACGTTGGGGGGTCCCACCTTGTGGGGCCCAGGGGAGCTATTATTCATTATGTAAGGAGGAGGAATCAAGAGGAAGCTATTTAAGAAGGTTCTTAATCAAAGGGGAACTATTTAGGAAGGTTCCTAATTAAGGGAGAACTATTTAGGAAGGTTTCCAATTATGTCTATTATATATCATGAAGGATTTAATTAGGGAGTTTTTAATTATGAAGCTTCCAATTATGTTTATTATATGTTAGGAAGGATTGAATTATGGAGGTTTTAATTAGGAAGCTTCCAATTATGTTTCTTATGTGTTATGGCTATTTAAGGTGGAGTTTGTTTTGAGTTTGAGGTTATGTTTTGCTGAAGTTTATTCTAGGATTTGTTGTGAGTTGCCTAGTGACATTTAGGATTTGTGGGAGAGCTGATTTATCTATCGAATATTAGATCAATTGTATATTGAATTATTTTTGAAGAAGAAATCCAAATTCAGCCCATAAATTAGTATTCCTGTATTTATTTCTTATCTCCTTTACGGTTTTTGCTTCCAAGACGCATCAGAATCCTACAGCTCAGCATAAAATAAATCATATTCAATCAAAGATATTTTGTAGTAGAAAATCTATGGGAATATGAAAGGTTCAAAACTGACATTGTTATCGAGACAATGGGAAAATCATATTTTTGTGTTTGAAGAATAATTTGTTATTTTTTATGTTATACTCATTCATAAAATATTTCAAATCTGTTAATGAAATATTCTCCATCATTTGTGCATCTATAATCTTGTGTTATATTGAAGAAGTAAGCAATATGGAAGCAAATGGTTTTTATTCTTACGCTCCATGGTGTACTCAGGACGATTAGACACCTTTTCTTCCTCTTTTCTTTTGTTAAGTTAAGCATATTTGAAGATTTATGCTATAAATGACGTAGCATGATACACCAATTTTGGTTCAATCGTGAATTACCAAAATATTGTTATATCATAACTGGTTCATGCTTATACATGTGGAGACCTTAATCAGTTTTGTTTATGTAGTTCAACCTTTTTTTTTGGTTGAACTCGTTGTCCAGAGAATGATCACAGAAGTAGCAGCAGAAGTTACATGAGATTCATCTCTTTTTCTAAGTTCTGATCTATACTGTGAAATGCATACCGGGCCTAAACGTTGTCGACTGAATGCTTGATATGTTGGATAGCTATGCTTGGTCATGGTATATCAATGTGGTTCTGTGGGCAAATGATAATGTGACACAATTTCAGATGGATTTTGACATTTGACTCTCCTAATCTAGGATTTGTTTAACACAGAAAATCTTGTGTTCAGGCTATGGTTCTGCCAAACTCGTCCACCATTTGCTACATGTCAAATAAAAAAGAATAAAAGGACCAAACTATTACTTCTGAAAGGTTTTTCGCTTGGTTGTTGAACATAAATTAATTTATCTTGTTAACTTTATATTTTTATTTAAAGTATCATTGTTTATCGATCTATTTATTCCTTCACAGTTTCGTCACATAAGTAATGTAGCTAAGTGGACACTAGTTAAGTAGTGGTGGGCGATAAAGAAATCTGCTTTTGTGTAAAATACGTTTGCATGTTCTGTATGAAACATTTGAACATTTAGCAGTTCTTTGTGATACTGCTAATATTTCTAGGATCTATTGAGACTTTCACTCATAGGATTATTATTTTTTTGGATATTAGTTTGATTTTTACTTGTACATGAGCAGGTCGTCGCAAGCTATTCACAAAAGAAGAAAAGGTTCTTCTCAATAAACGCATTCCTAGTTTGGCTGAAGCAACTTCGGTTAGTTCTCTCTGTGCTTTATACATGATTGAATAGTAAATTCTTGTGCTGCTTTGTTCTCTAATTCATGATTGAATAGTAAATATGTATTTTTCTCTATAATTGATAAGCTTATAGGGCTTTGCAATTATTTACTTCCTATTATTATACATTCCATCACTTAATTAAACATCAAAGAAGTCATATAGTTTCTTCTGATTTGTTACTAAACCATTTGCCACTCAGAGATCGAAGCCCGGATATCTGCAGGTTAGTGAGTTGTCTTGTGCATCTGATGGGTATGAAGTCCTCTGTTTGTTGGATGTCTTGCAATAATTGTCCTCTCAATCTACGAGTTACTCTTGGCGAGAACCTATATATGCTAACAAGAATATTCAAGATGGAACTGAAAAATGAGTGTCTTCTCAATATTCACACTGGGTATATGAATACTTGTACATTTGTCATTTTGCTTCGATTTAATGCTGGAGTTTCCTTTCATGAACCTATTCTCTTCCTTGCAATAATAGCTTAGATGGTATTTATGTTTATATATATATTCTCTTAAAAATTAAATTTGATTTTCATAAGCATTTTATGTGACTGAATATTACATTTTTTTCCTTAAAGCGGACAAAAACTAGCGAAATGATAGTCTAACATAACATTTTCTCTAAGCAAGTTGTTTAATATACAATTTGAAAGATGCTATCCTAGGAACATAGCTCGTGCATCAAGTGAAACTCTTTAACTAAATGCTTAAATTTCCATTAGATGGTGTGTTGGCCATAATCTTGCATTTCATTTGCTTTGTTATGATAAAAATGATTCATGTAAGGCTTTTAATTACAGAGGAAATGGCTACCTGTGCACACTCTTGCATCTTCCGGAGAGTTTTATCTTTTGGATTTGTTGCTGAAGCACAGTGTTGATATTAATGCTGTTGATGAGGTAATACTTTTAGCCGTCTACTCTTAGGATGCTACTGGTAATTGTTATAGATTTGGCTCTAGTTTCAATTGTTAGCTCTCGAACGAATAGCATTTTAATATTTCCTCAAACAAAGTTTTGATAGAAACAATGTCTCTTTCTCCAGGATGGCTTAACAGCAATTCATAAAGCTATAATTTCCAAGAAACATGCCATTACTAGTTACCTTTTGAGAAATTCAGCTAATCCTTTTGTACGTGATATGGTGAGTACATCTTCTAAGCTAGCTTACTACTTTATATGTTTATTTCCCAAAGAAAGGCAGATTAACTGAAATTAGATTACTATATATGTTTCATTTGTTGTATTTTGTTTTGGAAACCCTTAAATATGTCGAATTCCATCTAGTAATTTTGCTATAAAAATTGTGACAGGCTACAGATTTTATCACATGTTTGAAGTTGACAGTGAATTATATCAGTGACATGGTTGGTGGAATATGTTATTGATGGAATGAAACTTGAGAAGTAAATAACGAAAGATTAGATAGATATTATTATAATGGACCTCATTATGACCACATGTTTATGTTCGAATTAAAATAACAAAATTCTTTAGGTACCAAGTTAGCAGTTGTTCATTTGTTGTGCTTTAATAGTTTCTGTAGGTATAGTTGAATTGCTATAATTGTGAATATCGATCTAACTTCTCATGTTTTTTTTACCGGGCAAAAATGCTGTCAATTAATATTGGTTTTCTCTAGTAGACTTATGATTGTTCTATCTTTGTAGTGTATGATTGTAGTAATTTTGACAAGAAAATTTTAATGTGCTAAAGTGTTTTATTGTTGCTGCAGGATGGTGCTACTTTGATGCATTATGCCGTGCAAACTGCATCAAGTGAGAGTATAAAGATTCTTCTTCTATACAACGTTGACATTAATCTGGCTGATGATGTAGGCTGCAATTTCTTTTGCTTACCTTTAGTATTAATTTTCTTGGAATTTTGCATTTCAACTTTCATTTCTTTTGTAGGATGGATGGACACCGTTGCATCTTGCTGTGCAAACTCAAAGAACAGATATCGTGAGGCTTCTTTTGAAAAAAGGAGTTGATACGACCCTAAAAAATAAGGTAATATGTTGAAGGAATAATTTTTAAATTGTTGAATTCGAGCCCATTCGAAATGATAAAATTAATTTTGGTGCCCCTGTTAAAAAAAATTCCCAACTTCACGATTGGTTAGGCAGATTTAAATGTTTTCCATGTTCAATGTCTTAGTCCGGACCACCTTATGATGTAGGACATCTTAGGGCCTAGAATTCTTAATACATCTATATAAATATAATGCACAAATTCACTCTCATGAAATCCAAATTCATGGTTCACAAACTACTAATGAAAACAAAAAATATGTTTTTTAAATGAAACTTAGAAAAATAATAAGATTTAAAAGATAATTTAATGATCATTTTATCATAATTTTGCATTGAATTTAAATGTCATTAGAAGTCACACTTCGATCAGAAGTTACACTGCAAAAAAAAAAAGATCATGTTGTAAAATTTTGATCAAATTTAATTATGCAGATAAAAATCTTTAAAATTATATAAGGAAACAAGAGCAAGAAAAATTCACCAAAATTAAAAATCCAAATCTCAAGTTAGTATAGGGAGATGTGCACTCTTGAAAAGTTGTTGGTTAGCATTTGTACTGCAACAGAAAGATCCAAATCTAACCAGTATCCCAAGTACAACAAGAAAATAGAAAACTCAATAATATTTATGCCTCAAGTATCACCTATTTAGTATTTATAATGTCAAAACCCCTCCTTAAAAAACAATTTTATCATGTGGGTATTAGTTGATTCAGTTTGTAAAGATGTTGAAAGTTATGTCCTTGATCCTGAACTTGAATCCCGCTTACTACAATAAATTCACGCCCCTTTGATGGGCAAAAAAAAAGACAAAAAAAAAAAAAAAAAAAACTAAGGCATCCCAATGCAGTTAACAATCACGAATTAAAAAAAATTATGATATCCCATAACCATTAAAATACATGATCCTGTAAGCTATAAAGGTTTCAGTAATAGTTGCATATCATGCCCATCTAGAAATCAACTATCTTGAAATATGCACAAGCCATGCCAGTCGAAGGAAACAATAACAAAATGAGAGCACCAATAGTGAACTGAACCTGAACAAGTTTAGCCCAACAAAGAACTGGTAGCCGGATACAGAGACCATAGATTGTACTGAGATGTGAACAAAGAACTTAATTAGAGAAGGAATTCATTTTATACGTTTTTTTTTTCAATAAACTAATAAAATAGAAATTGGGAAGGCTATGAAAATAAAATAATTATGTATAATTAAACTTAGATTTTTTTTTTTTGTATAGAATAAGTTTGACTTAAAAATAACTTTTATAAATTAAGTATTTGATATTCTCTAATCAGATCTAGATATAATTCATGTGCTCCCCCTATTGAGTGATCCATGAATCAATAGGTCTTGTTCATTCTTGACAATGAACAAGATAGTTGTTGGTTAACAAATAAAAAATGGCTTTATAAGCAAACATTTTATAGAACTTATGTGTATATACCCATGCATGTATATTTGGTTTCTGCAGTTTCATTTGAAGAGACAACAACAACATCAAGCCTTTATCCCACTACGTGGGATCGGCTACATGAATCCTTTTTCTCCATTCTGTCATATTAATTATAGAATTTTCTCTTAAGTTTGAGGGGTACATTTCTATCACATAACAAGCCTGATGCATTCCCCCACTTCAACCATCCAACTTGAATTCTGCTGATAATATCCCCATCTGTTTCACCATCACTCTGAACAATAGATCCAATATATCTAAAACGTGTTCACTTATTAATGACTTGATCGCCCAAAGTCACAATCCCCTCACTAGGTCTATTACTACTAAAATTACACTCCATATATTAATTTACATAAAATTCATGTTAATCTTTAGAAAAAATTATCAATTGTAATAAATATTATAGAGGCCTAATCAATGCTTATAAGTGGTTTTTGAGGAAAGTGTGAGCGCCGGCTAATGGAGATCAAATTTTTATGGAGTGTGGCATCAACGGAAGGTCTTTAGAGGAGATTCGTAGGATCCTAATTTGTCTCTAATGCTATATTAAAAAGGGTTGAGAAGCATTAATCATTAAATTTTTACTAAAATTTCTTTCTAGTACAAGCATATTTATGTGCAATCTATATATTGACAAGAAAAGAGATCGATAAATAAAAAAATACAATAAGAACATATTATAATAATTAATAGCGCTTATTATTGCTATGGATAAGTTAACACATGATAATTTAGATATGTAACAAATTTCCTAAAAAATTTAGAAATTTCTAGCCCCATGATCTTACAAATTTATTAGAAATCTTGGACTTAGTCCTATATGCCTGATTTGCCATCCAACATTCACATTAATCTTGCTAATGTGGAAGATTTATTATAATATCATGTTACATTCGAGCCTCAAATATTTCCCATATAGGTTTTTCATCTGATGGTGCATATGATTTCATAGTTGTTATCTTTGTGTCTATTTTGTTATCATTTTCAGCCAAGGGATACCGTTGAATTGTTTGGCGTTCATGGCTATCTTGTTCATTTTCAAGAATGTCAATCATTATATGACACTAGAACGAAATATGTAAGAGCTTATTCATATTGCTCTACTCTTCTTGAAGAGTACTACGAATTAAGTTCACTTGAGGAGAAATTTTTTTGTCTCCAAGAGATTAGAGGGAAACCATTGAATCGTTCATCATGCATGTTGATAGATTATAAGATATTTTAGAGTAGATTGGGAGTGGTAGTTTTTAGTTGTGGGTATTCATCTCCTTAGCAGCGATTGGAATTCATTTTTTCAAAATAATGGTTGTTCTGTCATTATTCTTATCATGCTATTCTTATAAATTGCTCTTATATCTCCGTTTGTGTCAACGAAGTGAATAAAAGCGATTTCCTTGAGATTTTTTACTTTCCTGTAATTATACTTCATGTATTGTGTGATACCTACGGGCCTTTTATTGCTGTTTTTCTCATATAATTCCCAAATAAGGGAAGTATAAATAAATTACTCATGATTTAAGTTCAAATTCTGGTGTCGATAGCATATCAATTACTTATTACAGAAGAAAAAAGAAAAATTATACTTAATAATGTGTTAGTTGGATATTAAGTGCATAAAGTTATTGAAGAACAATTTGTAATATGATATTGCATTTATAAAATTATTGCTAAATTGGCGGATTCCTCTCAGGGAACTTTCATTCTTGGTAAGGGTACACAAAATGCATTATTAATATCCGTGAAAATCTTCATTCCTGTCTTAACAAGAAAATGAAACTTGTCTTCTAGGTGGATATTGAAAGGCCTTTGATTGCTCTTAATAGAATTCTATTCTTAATCTGGCTAAAAAAATTTTCCTCAAAAAATTATTTTTTGGATGAAAAAACATTGATTATCATGCTAATTCTACGATTATTGTCTTTTGGGCAATTGGGCAATCAATTCAAATGCTTTAGGGGGTTATGACAATGTGACCCCACATCTCCTTTTATTTTTAGTATTAGTTCTGATGTTCTTCATAAAAAAATCCTCTCTGCGGCTGATCATGGTTGGATTATGGGGTGCAAATATAATGTGTCTGATCCTCCTCACTTGCATTCAATTTACCGAGGGCACTTTAATTTTCAACAAGCTTTAAAGCTTAAATTTCTTTTCAATATCAGGTAAGAAGGTTATTATCAGAACTATCAACGACTTTTATTCAATGTATTTCCTTCTGCATGTTTTCCGTATTTATTACATCTTCATTGTGCTCAATATCTAACATGGTTGCTGGATATATGACAGTCAATCATCATTTGAGCACTCAGAGGCTAGCTTTTTTGTTTCAGGATGGGTTGAGACCACTGGATCTCTGCCTTTATTGTGGCCACAATGTGAGAACTTTCGAAATTATCAAGTTGCTGAAGGAGGTACCAAATTTCAACTTACATGGATAATGCCGGTTTATCCAGGAAGCTTCGTAAAGCCTCTTCATTTGCCATTTCATCATTCTTTGCAGGTAAATAGAATTTGTTTGTATCTACTTGCCGTTCTAAACATCATCCTTCACTCCAAACACTTTAGATTATAATTGGAAGACTTGGATATCAATAGCCGAAAGGTATTTTGTGTTCTTGTTAATTGCAGTGGGCAGATGCTACCGACCTCGTTCTGGTTAGAGCAGGCTATATCTCCGGATTGGATTACTGGAATATGCTTATGGCTTTGTTTGGGGCGGCTTTTTTCTTGCTGCTTAAAGCAGTTTTCTACTAGAAAGCTGTTTTAAGAAGCACTAAAAAAGCCGTCCCAAATGAAGCCTATGAGATGGGGAATGATGCTCCGAGTAAGCCAACCTATTTAAAATCTGTGTATAATTTAGGCAATAATTTCCTATTAACAGATTGATGCTAGCATCTTTTGCCTTCATTGAGTTGTTTCTGTTATTGATGTCAAATATAGCAGTGAAAAGAGTTGAAGATAGAGATTTACTACACAGCAGGTGCTGAATATCAAGTCGAGTTGCCTGGTAATTTTCTAGTTTGTGTGAATTTTGTCTGCTATTGTATATTTAGTTCATTTTTTTCACAAATGTTTGACGGTCAGTTTATACGTACATGGATCACTTAAATTTCTCTTCGGCTGGCGCATGCCATACGGTAATATGTATGGCTTGAGAGTTTAATAGCCTGATTTGCCATCTTGAGCTAGGCATCCTCATTCAGATTGATAAAAGTTAGCCTGTTCCTTCACCTTTTTCTTTCTCTTTCTCCCTATATTGATATTAGCTGCCAATATTTGTAGTGTATTGCATTCTATTTTCCTCGCATTTTGAAACCAAAAATATATAATATATAAAACAACAAAATCAACCTTTTAACCCATTATGTGGGGCTGTAAAAAAAATATTATAGTTGCGGGCTGAGAAATTTGAGACAGTAGAGTGCAAATATTTTACGTCCTTGCTATTCACAAAAAATTAGCACACAAATAGTAACTTGAAGAGATAGTAGGACACTAGAGTTTTAATGTGGAAAACCATATAAAGGGGAAAAACCACTGGTCTCATCCAGTTACAAGGATTCTACTATTGTTTAAATGAAATGCATAGATCGACATGTTCTTAAATACATGGAGAATACAATATGTTGAAGATTTTCACCAAATTCCAATCATGTGTTTATGATCTTGAATGGTTAATATATGAACAAGCGAAAGTCTGGCGGTTAGTGATCAGGAAGAGATTTTGCGGTATTTGATGAGAGGGCGAAAGTCTGAAGTCGTTCAATGGTCGTAAAGAACTCCGGAGGCGGCCAAGAGGAAATCCGGTGGCGGCCGAGAAGAAATATGGTGGCGGCCGAGAAGAACTCTGGTGATGGTCGGGAAGAACTTCTAGGATGATCGAGAAGAACTCCGATAGTGGTTGGGAAGAGCTTCGACGGTGGCCGGCGGCGAGAGACCTCTCAAATTTCTTCCCTTCTTTCCTTCCTCTTCTTATGTGAAGAATGAGTGACCTATTTATAGTTTTTTGAAATTGTCATGGCTTATAAATAGTGAGAAGATCAAGGGCAATGTGGGAGTGTTTAGTCGGACGACTCATAGCGGTTCCTTTGATCATAGAGCATTTATCAAATATTTGGGTGTCTTAACAGTGTCAAATTCAGCGATCTTGGGCTCGTTGGATTCGTCTTGCCGAGCCGCTCGATTCGATTATAAGCATGCCATATTTTGAAGTCATTTGATTATTCATTGATGCTCTGAAAGCGTCTAAATACGCTTTGGTCCTTTGATTTGGGCTTATTTGTGCTTGGATTGGGCTGGATGAGGCGTCGTCGGGTTTGTCTATTCGAGATGTTCAATTTGACTATAAGTTTGGCGAAATCAGAGTTAAGATGATCTTTAATTTAATTTCACTGGAAGCTTTTGATTCATGCTCGCATCAAGATTCGTGCCTGATCAAGATAATTTTTTGGTGACATATCAATGATATATATACAAAAAAAAAAAAAAATACAATATATATAAAATAAAATTTTGAGGGTTTTAAATACCCAAAATATATGTTCTACATTTAGGGCATCTGTAACTGAAAAACCTTTTTTCCACTTCAAAATGCAGTAACAATCATATCATCTCCAATCGAGCGCCATTTCTAACATCAACAACAACAACAACAACAACATCAAGCCTTTATCCCACTACGTGGGGTCGGCTACATGAATCCTTTTTCTCCATTGTGTCCTATTAAATTTTACATTATATTTATTATACTTTGCATCATTTTACATTCCAACTAAACACCAAAATTTATAAAATTATTGCATTTAAAATTCTTTACACTTTAAAGTAATCCAACCAAATAAACCCCAAAAAAGAAGTCTATTCATATTGGGCATCATCCATCCGTTGTATGCATGCTTTCAATTGCCATTTGCAGATCTTCCCAACTCATCCATATCTCTTGATTTCTTTTTGCCTGTTCCATTTTTGTTTCCATGAACCGTTGAGGGCATTTTGATGTTGACTCCGAAAAAAGATGTATTGTTTAGTTCTGAGGCTTTGGAGTAGAACCTGGACTAATCAAGGCCTTCAGCCTAATCAAGTCCCATGACACCATTTCTATAGGGTAATTCCTTCAATGATTTGCAAAGTGTGAGTTTTGGATACAAGCTTTAAATTATTTTATTTTGTAGGGTTGCGATCGGGCGTGAGCCTTACCTAAAATTTGGCTCGCCTTACCTAAAATTTGGCTCACCAAATTAATGGCAGGCTCGAACTTGAACTTTAGTCGCGCTTGCATGTTGATCTCGAATTTATCTTGGATTACGAATACGCTCAAGCTTGACTCGTGAGCGCTAAGTTCCCCAAATTCTTGAAATCGTGACGGGAGCTTTTTCGAGCTCTCGGGGGAGAAATGGGATTTAACTTAAAAGGTGGAGAAATCCAACCAGTTCTTGACCCAACAAATGATCCTTGCTAAGTTAGAACTTAAGCTCATATCATATATAAGCTTGTGACTTCATAATTTTGAGTTACGAGCGTGTTAACTAGTCGAGTTCAAGTGAGATGATTGTTCTTACTTGCACCCCTAATCTAGGATATAGCAAGCTCAAACTCTAATTAATATAGGATAGAGCGCAGCGAAATGCGATATGTGGTGTGAATCGCAAAATCTTGAGAACCATCGAGTCTTTGAACGCAAGTTGCGCCTGTGGCCAACTAGCCAAGGGAACGTCTGCCTGGGCGTCAGGTGTTACGAAAGTAAGAAAAAAAATCAAATTAATGAATTTAATATTTCATGGTAGAGGTTGGGGGTTGGGAGTGACAAGTTTTTTAGATTAATTGGCTTCTCTGTGTTTGGAAGCGGACGAAGATTTCAACCTCTCCACCCTTGTTTAAAGGTTTAATCCTCAATCTGATCAATGTATTTATATGTGATTTTAGCATGGAGATGTAACAAAAAAAAAAAAAAAAAAAAAATTTAAACGTATTTTTCATTTGATACAAGTTTTATAAACTGCATTACAGAATTAAAGGAGAATAAAGATTGATGATATTAAGGCTTTGTATCGAATAGCTTTTTTACTGCATTCTAAGTCAGCTTTTTAGTACACAAAATTTTCAACTTGAATTTTTTGTATTAAAAAACTGTTTAAAAAGCAATAAAAAATTGTCTCAAATGAAACCTAAGTCTTATAAATTTTACTTTCAATTGGTGTTTTTTTATTTTTTAATTATTATTATCTCAGCTTTTTTGATATTTTAATGATGATGAGTTATTTTTTATAATCAAAATTATTAATTTAGGATAGCTTTAAAAGAGAGTTGCATCAAAATTATTAAAATTTTATTTGCAATTTCTATAAATTCTAATATTATTTAAAATTGTTATTTGATTGCTTTTAAAAGTAAACAATAATAATAAATGTGATTTTTGCCTTTTATAAAAGATGCTTAAATTTTCTTGTTAGTTTTAAATTTAAAAACTTGTTGCGGACTAGAATATATGCGGCAATAGAGTAAAAAATATAACGTCTTAACAATATTCGTATATCCAACACAACAGATAATTAAGGGAGAGAAGCACTTGAAATTTTTTTAAATGGAAAACCGAAAAGAGAAAAACCACGGGGCTTGGCTCGGATGAGAAATTTCCATTATATCTGGATTGGTTATTCCAACTAAACACCAAAATTTATAAAATTATTGCATTTAAAATTCTTTACACTTTAAAGTAATCCAACCAAATAAACCCCAAAAAAGAAGTCTATTCATATTGGGCATCATCCATCCGTTGTATGCATGCTTTCAATTGCCATTTGCAGATCTTCCCAACTCATCCATATCTATTGATTTCTCTTTTGCCTGTTCCATTTTTGGTTTCATGAACCGTTGAGGGCATTTTGATGTTGACTCCGAAAAAAGATGTATTGTTTAGTTCTGAGGCTTTGGAGTAGAACCTGGACTAATCAAGGCCTTCAGCCTAATCAAGTCCCATGACACCATTTCTATAGGGTAATTCCTTCTATGATTTGCAAAGTGTGAGTTTTGGATACAAGCTTTAAATTACTTTATTTTGTAGGGTTGCGATCGGGCGTGAGCCTTACCTAAAATTTGGCTCGCCTTACCTAAAATTTGGCTCGAGCTTGTATGTTGATCTTGAATTTATCTTGGATTACGAATACGCTCAAGCTTGACTCGTGAGCGCTAAGTTCCCCAAATTCTTGAAATCGTGACGGGAGCTTTTTCGAGCTCTTGGGGGAGAAATGTGATTTAGCTTAAAAGGTGGAGAAATCCAACCAGTTCTTGACCCAACAAATGATCATTGTTAAGCTCGAACTCAAGCTCGTAGCATATATAAGCTTTTTGGCTTCATAATTTTGACTTACGAGCGTGCTAACTAGTCGAGCTCAAGTGAGATGGTTGTTCATACTTGCACCCATAATCTAGGATATAGCAGGCTCAAACTCGAATTAATATACGATAGAGCGCAGCGAAATGCGATACGTGGCGTGAATTGCAAAATCTTGAGAACCATCGAGTCTTTGAACGCAAGTTGCGCCTGCGGCCAACTAGCCAAGGGCACGTCTGCCTGGGCGTCAAGTGTCACGAAAGTAAGAAAAAAAAATCAAATTAATGAATTTAATATTTCATGGTAGAGGTTGGGGATCTGCCCGACCCAAAAATTTTAGTTGATTATTTATGGGAGTGGCATTTTTTTTAGATTAATTGGCTTCTCTGTGTTTGGAACCGGACAAAGATTTCAACCTCTCCACCATTTTTTAACGGTTTAATCCTCAATCTGATCAATGCATTTCCATGTGATTTTAGCATGGAGATATAACAAAAATAAAAAAATAAAACGTATTTTTTATTTGATGGAATTCTTTAAATTTATTCTACAAGTTTTATAAACTGCATTACAGAATTAAAGGATAATAAAGCTTGGTGATATTAAGGCTTTGTATGGGATATCTTTCTTACTGCCTTTTTAGTACACAAATTTTTCAACTTGCATTTTTTTTTATTAAAAAATTATTTTAAAAAGTAATAAAAAAGTTGTCTCAAATCGTAAGTTTTATAATTTTTATTTTAAATTGGTGTTTTATTTATTTATTTATTATTATTATCTCAGCTTTTTTGATATTTTAATGATGATAAGTTATTTTTTATAATCAAAATTATTAATTTATGATAGCTTTAAAAGAGAGTTGCATCAAAATTATTAAAATTTTATTTGCAATTACTAT